CATAACGAGTGGGAGTTCACCTATAAGGAGAAGTAGTGAAAAGTCCATATGACATCATTCTTCTTAATGCTCGACGGGGTGTGGTATTAGAGAATTTCATCTCCTTATTATCTATTGAGGTTTAGTGTTGGAGATTATCTCCTTAGTGCCCATGTGGGGTGTGGTATTGGAGATCAGAGCTCCTTAGCATCTGTATAATGCAGTGTTAGAGTAATGACACCCCGATCATTGTATTTAATAGGGGAAATTATAGTCAAAAAGTGAGATAGAACACCTTTGGCCAGGTGATTTTACAATTGAAGGTGCACTTAGGTCAGTAAGTATGTATTAGTCTAATAAAGCCTAAGGTTGTAGTCGAGGTGACATGGAGGCTCGGATGGTTGTGATCATACTAGTAGTGGTGATTTGATGTGAAAAAGGTTTTATGAAGTAAAATTTATATTATATGCTATATTCAACTATATATATGCAATACCTACTTACAGATACCTATGATAGTTAATAGTAGCAAGTTATTCTATTATTGAGATTATTATTTCACCCTATAGTTATATTTTTACATGTTAAAGTAGTGACTTGTGTAAAGGGAAAGATGTTAGACCGGCATAGTAGAGCTATCGCTGTGAGATCTCAGAGTTTGTGTAATGAACCTGTTTGGTTGTGCGCTTGTAAATGTATGAGTTGCCATAGGAATCATGTGCATGTTTGAAATTGTGATAGACTATGATTTTGAGAATTTTAGCCTAGTATGTGTGGAAATATGCTGCTTGTTATGAATTATGTGATATGGGTTAAGACTTGATTGAGCTATGTTGGGAATGTATATGAGTAGTGATGATGTGGTAATGTGAATCCTAACCCAATTGTGGTGAAAATGATTTGGGGGTGAGGATTGTGTTATGTAAAGGTATATATGAATGTGAGTATGTTGATAGTAGTGAATATGTAATGATTATGTGACAAATTGGCCAATAGTATAAAGTGATGACATTGTGTAACAACCCTTTATTGTGTAAATAGGTGATTGAATGGCCAAATCTTGAATTTTATGTATATATGTTTGTGATTATTGGTCAATTAGATGTGAATGATCCTTTTGGATTTGGTTCTAGGCCCAAATTAGCCTAATGAGACAAAGTGTGTGATTTGAACACTTTGGTGCTTTAGTTTTCAAAGAAAAGTGGCTTTTTGCTCTCGAGTATCCAAATTTAAATTGGACTGTTAGATCATGTTTGAACTTTCTCATTAGTTAACTTATGAAATAAACTTTGTGTATATGTTTAAATCACTTCAATCAGATGTTATATGTGAAAATGGCGTACATCAAAAGTTTACCTCATCAAACTATCATATGACAGTAAATTTTTGTCATGTGCATTGCGGCATATGGTGTCACATGCCACTGCGCATGGCACAGAATAGGAGCTTGTGGCTTTGTGCCATATGTCATGGCATGTGGTGCATGTTGTAACGCATACTCCTTGTCTTTGTCTTGTTTCTTTTATTTGAAAACATTTGTTTGGGATGATGAATGCAGGTGACTGTCTTCCATTTTGCATTGTTTAATATGAGATTGATTTTAAGTGATTTTAATAAAATGGGTTCCCAAGCGTTTTAAATAAATTTCCTTGATTACAATTTGATAATTTGATGTGGTAATTACGTTGACCCTTTCTTATACTAGATTTGCGGTGGGACTATAGTTTGGTGTGGGGAGACATTACATTGTTTCTTTTTCTTTTTTTTTTGGTGTTGTTTTGTATGGGTTTATGCTTTTTTATTGTTTTGTTTCTCTTATTTATATTTTGTTCATTGTATCTTATTTGTCATTGAAACCCTACAATTTTCAATGATATTTTATATTTCTAGAAAAAACAAGTAGCTTCCTAATCAAGGAGGGGTCTTTTTCTATAATTTTGATATCATATCTACAATTTTTAAGTTAACTAACATTTAAAGTTAAAGTTTTTAATAATGTGTTGCTCAACACAGCATTTTTAAATGTTGAAGGGGAAAATTGCACCATGTAAAATTTTAAGATAATAGGTGCTCTTGAGCAAATAGTTAAAGGGTAAACATGTCATTTAACTCTATTTCTAATGCTATGTGGCCTTTCTTCATTTCTAGATGGCTAATTTTCTATCTCAAAATTCAATCCATATCTAAGCTTAAGCCTTGGACTTAAAGACATGCAGGCCAATTTGTTGGTATCTCTAACTTTTTGTTTTTTAAAATTATTTTGTAATTTAGTTTTCAAAATTATTTTTTAGAATGAACAAATTAAAATATGTTTGATTATGTTAATTTAAAATAGTTTTAGAATTAAAAAATTGATGATAATTGGTGGCGGTTAATAATAGTGGTTTATAATAATAATTAGTCAAGCTAACTATAATTTTCAATAATCAAATGTAGTGTGTTTTGAAAATAAGAAAAATAAAATAAAAACAACTTTAAGATGTTTTTGTTCTTTGTTGGGAAAATTAATATGGAGGTACTTATAATTTTTTTCAATTTTAAATTAAGCCACTGATTTATTTTTTATCAAGCCCTTATAATTTAATTTATTAGACATACGTTAATCCCTAAAAGGTTATAATTAATAATGAATTATTAAATTTCCTAAAACAAAAATTATTTTGGGGTTCATAAAAAATATGATGTAATTCTTTTTGCCAAAAAAGTAAAAACGAAAATTTTATTTAATACAATACTTACGTTTTTATTAATTTTTTTAATGAAAATTCTATATGTATAGAAATTATTTAGAATACAACTAAATCATATAAAACTCGAGTTTTAAAAATTTTGTAATTAATTTTAAAGTTATATGATCTTTTAAGAAAAATATAAAAATTCTTATTTCTTTTAAATGAAAAATTCAAAGATTTTAACTTTAAGGATTAAAAAATTTCATGAATCAAACTATAAAGATTCGATTAAAAAAATTCAGAAAAACTATAATGTCGAGTAAATATATTCTTTCTTTTTATGTTTTGAAAAATGAAAAATGAGAATAGTTTTGAAAACAATTAAATCCTAGAACACATATGTTAATGAGTTTTTTAAATCTTTTATTTTAAAAATAGAAAACCATTTTTAGAAACAGAAATCAAACATACCCATGACTTCAGTCTCTAACCTCTTTTGCTTTTGTTTGTTTCAAGCAACGGATAATTTTTTTTTATCTAAACAAAAAAAAGATATTTTTCTTTAGAAAGAAGACCTAGTTTAGTTTACTTATAAAGATGGGCATTTATGGAATATGATAAAATAAATGAGGGTATATTAGTCAAGATATTTGACTCCCCTTGTGGGGGAATTCCAATCTGGCTTCCCCATGGCACCCTGGAATTTTATTTGGAAATCTTCAAAACGCATTCATGTTATTGCATGGTTCAATTAGTTTTGCTTTGAGATTCGTGTAGTTTCTCTCGTTGATTTTGTAATCACAGGATTTGGGTCCTTGTGAGCACGATTGAATTATTTGCATCTTTTTCTGTTGTTTCATCGATATGGTATGGTTACAGAAATCCATCCCTCTGATTCGACCTAATCTTTTTTTGTGTGCGCATGAAAAGCCACTCCAGACAGTTTATAGGCAAAAAGTTATATCCGACTTCTTCATTGGGGGTGCTTGCCTTTTTTAATCATTTAATTTCGGCATTTGTTTCTTGAATTAATATGTAATTTAGACCTCAAATTACAAGTTTGGTGTGATTTTAACTCTAAACTAGTATTTGTATATTTTAAATTTTAAATAATTAAATTTAGAACAATTTCACTCCATTATTAAATTAAAACAAACACCTATTATTTTTTTTAAAAGGGGATTGATATGTAATTTTCTTCAAAGGAAGGTAGGAGAGAGGAAGAGTGAAATTTTACAAAAATTTCATATTAGGCCTAATTTTTTAAAAAGTTATAATATTTGTTTTAATTTAATGATGAGTGTGAAATTGCCTTAAAATTAATTATTTAAAGTTTAGAATATATTAAATATGAATTTAGAGTTCAAATTGTATATTAGCCCTTATTTCTTTGAAAGTGAATTATGAGCCTAATTTCAACCTTTCAAGATCACAAGCAAATTTCATATGCTTCGAATTGCTTTCCAGTGTAATATCATTGATTACTTTAATTTAATTAATGGTTACTTTTTTCTAAATAATTAAAATAGAATAACAAATTACAATTACAAGTTTCTCTCTACAAATTTTTTATATAACTGAAGTCTAATAATTAAATATTATTGATACTTTGATTTAAGTAATGATTATTTTTCTTTTGAAAATGACTAAAAATGGAATCACAAATTACTAGTTCTTATAGGAAATTTTTTAATCACTGAAATTCAATAACTAAATTATCTTGACTACTAATAAGTACTTTTCTTTTAAAAATGACTAAAACGGAATGGCAAATTACAAGTTCCCAAAGCAATTTTTTTTTTAATCACTGAAGTCTAGCAACTACATATCAATGACTACTTTATTTTACATAATGATTATTTTCATTTTTGAATTTCATTTTATTAGTGTTTAATTAATCCTGAAAGAAAATGACTACAAAATAGCAAATAACTACTTTCTTTAAGCTAGTGACTAACATAGTATAGGAAATGACAACTTCCATTTCCCAATTTCATTTCATAAGTGTTGAATCCTAAAAATAAATGACAACTATGAAATAGCAAATGACTACATTCATATAGCTAGTGACTAAAATAGAGTAGGAAATGACTACTTCTAGTTCTAAATTTTATTTTTTCAATGTTCAATCCTGAAATTGTTTTCATTAAATTCAAATATTGAAGCTCATTGCATGAACAACGTCTATAGTTACATAAAAACACATGAGCAAAACAAATTGTAGAAGACACTACCACAAAAATAATAAGAGTTAAAGGCATTTTTGCCCTTTAACTATTCACTCAATAGCATTTGGTGTCCTAGATTTTATTATGGTGTAATTTGTCCTTTAACTTTTAAAAATGATGCATTGGATACCTACTATTAAAAAAGTTAACTTTGATTATTAGCTTATTACAAAAAATACAAAAAAGGACATAAAAATATAAAAAAGGACTCATAAAGTTGCAAATAAGTACCCTATAAAAAATTAATATCAATCAAGTTCCTAAAATAATTGTTGGTCAAAATCATTTTGGCCTTTTATACAGGTAATAAATAATATTGCTATCATGTTATGTATATGTAATTTAAGAGACTTAATTGACATTAATTTTCTTATAAGACGCTTATGTGTAATTTCATAGGTCATTTTTTGTAATTTTTGATTTTTTTTTTGCAATTTTTAAGTTATCAAAGTTAATTTTTGTAACTGTAGGGTGCCCAAAGCACCATGCATTTTCAAATAATATTGAAGGACAAAATTGTACGATATGAAAGTTTATAATACCAATGTCAGACACTCCTAGGTGAATAGCTGAGAATCAAAAATGTTCTTTAATCCAAATAATAATGATATGATTCGCGAAGTTACAATCAAATACATGATTTCCATGTGTGGAGATCTTACATCTTAAAGTGACAACCTCCTTTTCTCCTTCGTTTAGCCTTGCTTTTTGAAAGCATTGCAATTAATCCCCTCTTCTCCTCTCTCCCACCTCTAGGCACATTATAGTTCAGCTTCTATAGTAAGAGTGCATAACATGGTAAGGCCAAGACCGATAATAAATAAGCATATTCAATAAAATTGCAGCCAGATTTGCACAAGTTCATTTGTGTAGACATTTGCGAATGATTCACGCATGCATAGAGAAGGTAGGAAAAAAAAAAATGACCAGCAACTATTGAATATACAAAATATCCTTAAAATGCAGAACCACAAGGAAGTTTTTGCATGAAACAAAACTTTTTACTTCTTAAACATACTGCTAGTAACAACAGATGGTGTAGATCATACAAAGGATGAAAGCTTCCACACTTAAGCATTCAATTGTTGTAATAATTTATTTGATAATTCAAAACACAAAGTGCATGCATTCATATGGTCCATAATATTTCACACACACACATCCTTCTTTAACCCCAACACAATATGATTCTTGTGATTTAAAAAAAAAAAATGCTAGAGGAAGTCCAGGAATAACAAAATAACATCATAAGTCTCACTTGAAATGAATTGTTTCAATTTTTCAAATTAGTGCAGCTTATATATTTAGTGATGCAAGTCATTTAGTCTAAATTTTACATAAGGTTAGATCGCTTGATAACACAACTAATGATTGTTATAAATTTTACTATATTTTAATAATGTGAAACTGAAAACCCCCCACTCAAACTTATCAAGTCATCTTGATATCCAAATCAAAGCCCATTGTCCTTATCATTTTTTTCTAGGTATCTCTACAGCTAGTAGCCATAAGGCTAATCCCTAGATGAATTTGAGTGTCATTTAAGGGGTTGTCCTTTCCCAAATGATACTCTCTATATACACCTCCAGGAATTGAACTTTAAAATAATACTTAAGGGACCTAAACTGCTACTATATGTGCCACAGTGTGATACTCACTTGGTCCACTGTCCTTATCTTATTAATATAACTATATAACATATCTAAATGCAATCCCCTACTAAGCAATTTTCCCATTTTCAAGTACAGATGCTACTAGGACAAAAGTTGTAAACCATTTGATCATAAGATCTCTTTACTTGAACAAGCTTAATAGAATAGCAATTTCCCGTTAACCTTAAACTAATCTCATGGCCCCATTCTAAAACTACAAAAACGCATCATCTCATATAGGGGAGAACAATAATTGCTTACCAACACAAAAAATACTTCAAAACCATTTTATTTTATTCTATCCCAACTTAAGAAAGAACCATACTAATTTGGGGAGAGTCTTACGTCGTACAATAGTAGATCTTGAACTTGTTTACAAAGAATGGGAGACTAAATTGGGAGGACCTCAATTTGCAGAGTGCCCCAATTTGAGAGCGAAATTGGAAGGGCCTTCGTAGATGAGCCTTGAGGGTTTTCACTGCTTGGAGAAATTGAAGGCAAAAATGTGAAGGGATCATGTCTGTGTGGGCTGAGTGGAGGAGAGGTAGTATTTTAGGGTAATATTGTCATTTCATAAAAAACATTGATTCCAAGGAAATCTCAAGGAAATTTAGAGTCACTAAAACATTGCATGGGCCTCATTTGAGATATAGGCTTAGGAATGTTTGAGACCTGAAACTCATCAAACTATAAGTTTAGAAGTGTCTGGGATCCTAAATTCATTTTTGATGCAATATTACCCTTCAACATTTAAAAATGATGCTAGGTTACCCATATCATTAGTAAAAACTAATTTTAATTGTAAGTTAGACAAAAAATTATAAAAAAGAATCTCAATATATACATAAAAAACTAAGAAAATTATAGAAAATGATTCAAAAATTACAAACTCATATAGCATCGTTTTGAAATGTCAAGAGAACATTGCACTAAAAAAAATTTTAAGGCCTCACATGCTCCTAAACTTGTTGTTCAAAGGTGAATTTGTTATGTCATCCTAAAATTTAACCTTAACTTCTCTCTCTCTCCCCCCCCCTTCCCCATAATAAAATATTTACTTCACAAATAAACCATATAAGAGGCTGCAAAATTTGACATATTCAAAAATCTAAAAAGTTTCCAAAACAGATATATGAATTCAATAAAGCACCTGAAATGAGAAACAAACAGAGTAAATAATTATTATAATCGAAATAACAACTATCTTTTTTTATTTTTTATTCTACTGATTTCACCCATTAGAAAGACTAACAACTGATGAATTGATTAATTCACTTTATCACCATATTTTGAATGGTAAGCTCACCAACATTTGGTCAAAGTTGAACTCGTGTTGAACTAATCAAATTCCAATTTTTATAACTCTTTCTAAATTTACATGTAAATATGTTATCTTATTAGAAGACCATTATTAAAATAACAAAACCAATAAATCTAGAGCATTGACTAAACAACAGAGTATATGTTGTGAAGAGCAACTAACAATTATGCAAATTGTTAAAGTAGAATATAAAGACATCATATCTACCTGTTAATCAAGCATCTTATGAGACATTAAAGGATTTTAAGCTTGCATCCATCTTTCATCTCCAATGTTGCGAGATAATCTTTCATTTCTTTGGATGGATATGACACCACCACATTTCGTAGATCAGGCAGTGACCATAGTTCCTCTGAAAGCTTAATCAATCTTTGACAATAATTGATGGACAAGCTTTGAAGACGTGGCATTGCACCTCTGCTCAAATTCCAATTTTTGTATCTCATGTCACTCATTTTAAAGACTTTGAGATTTTGGAAATATCCACTTTTGCAATCAAGATTGTCAAAGCAACAATCACGGTCAATTTCAATAAGAGCTATTTTTAAAATCTCAAGACTAGAAATGGCTCCAAGAACTTCCATAGAAATATCTTGAGAACCCAGCAACAATGTTATCTTTGTCAATTTTGATGGAAAAATTGCATCTATTTGAGGGAAATTGTGGGCTTTAATCTTGAGTGTTTGTAGGTCAGACAAAGTTTGAAATTTTTGTGAAAACTTCTTCAAATTCCAAGGACTTATTTCAGGAAACGATAACCCCAATTTTCTAAGCTTGCTTATGTAGGTTAAAGGGAAAGCAACACTGCTTATAGTAACAAAAGATAGGGTTTGTAGATTTTCTAAAGGGGCATTAAGTGGGGGTATCTCTGAATATAATGGAAGCAAAAGATGCCTTAAACACTTGAGTTTCTCTATGCTACTCGGTAGAACCACTCGATAACTAACAATTTGTAGAGTTTCTAAATTCCATAGGTTAAATATTTTTTTTGGGATATTTAAACAATCAATAGTCTCCAACTTTAGGTACCTCAAATGGATTAGCTGCTCAATTCTATTAGGAATTCTTACTGTCACTATAGAGGAGATATCAAGGACACGTATCAATTTGAAGTCCTTCACAATGGCTTCCCAACAAGTGAAAACCTTTTCTTCTCTTCCAAGGAAAATCAAAGAACGCACAGATGAATGATTAGTATTAAGGCTAGAAGCTAGGTAAGTTGAAGCCTTACAATACACGAATAATCTTCGAGGGTTGGCTAGATTTGAATTGCTAGTAGCAGTAATGATGTCATAAACTTCTGCTTTTTGCTTTCTTCTATGCCAAATGCTCGTAAAAGATCATGAATGCGACATACCTTCACACCCCTATTAGTCCTCTTGCTTTCAACTTGGATCAAGTTTCGGTCAATGAGCTCCATAAAGTAGTATTCTGCAACATCCTCTGGTTGCTTATTGCCTGTATCTTTTGGTATTAACCCCTCTGCTATCCAAAGCCTAATCAATTTTCTAACGCAAATTTTGAAGTCTTCAGGGAAATTACCAACATATAGAAAGCATGGTTTTAGATGTTTGGGCAAGAACTTATAACTTATTGCCAAAATGTCTGTGCACTCAACTTTTTGTTGAAAAAGATGCCAAATTTCATTTCCAGCAACATAGAACCAACTTGCCTTGGATCTTTCTTGTTTTGCTAAAATGCCAGCCAACACCACAATGGATAAAGGTAATCCATCACAACTTTCAGCCATTTTCCTACCAAGATCTTCCAATTCATGAGGACATTGCTCTCCCATAAACACTCTCTTTGATAAAAGTTCCCAACTTTGTTCTTTGCTAAGAGATGGAAGTTGATATACAAACTGTTGAGATGGACTTGCAACACGAGCAACTTGTTCTAATCTACTAGTGATCAATATTCTACTCCCATTTTTGTCATCAGGAAAAATATCACTTATGGCATGCCATACTTCAGGTATCCATATGTCATCTAGCACAACAAAATATGGTTTTCCCCTCAAGCTTTCATGGATTTTTTGCTTTAACAAATTCTCCATACTCATATTTTGAAAAATGCCATCACCGAGTTCATCTTGGATTGCTTGTTTTAGATTTTTCATGCTCATTCCATGATAAGTACTTGTTCCTACTTGAGCCAAGAGAATGAGTAATAGTGCTTCAACTTGCCAATCTTCTGAAACATTAGCCCACACAAATCTATCAAAGTATCTCTTGAGATAATCATTTTTGTAGATCTTCCTTGCAAGAGTGGTTTTCCCTTGCCCACCCATGCCAATGATGGAAATGACCTTACGCTCTCTATGCCCACCTGTGAGTTTCTTGATCACTTCATCTGAGAAAACATTAAAGCCAACCACATCATCTTTCTCAACATTTCTCCTATGTTCCTTCAAAATAGCCTCTGTATCCATCTTTGCCTCTATCTCTCCTTGTAAATTATGAAGCAACTCCATGGCAAGTTGTTGGTTGCTTTTTATTGCTTCAATCCTGACCTTAATTTTTCCTACCTTATCTGCAAGATTGTGGAGAAGCTTTGCGTGACTTACGTAATTGGTTGGATCCCACCATCGTTTGATTCTTTGCCGATTAAGGTCATAGATGTAAGTATCGATCACATCCTCAGCTTCATGAACAACCTCTCTGATTTGCCCAAAACCTTTTGCAATTACTTCATGTGTGTTTAGGCTTTTCTCTGAACAATTGAGGAGAGCTTTCAGAGTTTCTATCTGATCTTGAAGCAAATTGATTTTGTGCTTTACATCACTAGGCAAATTGTATTCTTGTAGAAGTTGACCAAACAATTTTTCCAAAAGGGAACTAACAGCACTGTCTGCCATTTCTCATCTATAGAAAGAGCACACTCCCTCTAACGATTTTGAAGCTAAGGATCAACCCAACATATGCTTCTTAGTTCAGATGGTTTTGAACATAACACCTGAATTCCTAGCTATTTTTCTTTCAATAACGGGAAACATTGTGGAAAATGTCAGTCTGTATCAGCCCAAAAGAAAAAAAAAACAAGAAATAATAAGATGACTTTTCATCACTATTAGACTAGGTTCCCTTCCAATCTGGGGATTCACATGCATCACCCGATCTATATTGTCGGCATCCCAAAATTCAAAAGAGATAATACATTAGGATTATCTTTGATATCTTTCATATATATATATGGCATAAAAAATATACTTTAATAATATTACGAGAATTATGGGTTTATATTATTTTTTCTTAACATGAAATATTAAATGTTAATTAAAGCAAACAATACAAAAATTAACATACATACATACATACATACATACATACATATATATATATATATATATATTTATATCAATACAAAAATAAGACGGTATGTGGGGACAAAATATATAATTATAAATATTCATTAAATTAACATGAAAATAAAATTTATCAGAATTAAATGATAAAGCAAACAATACAAAAATTAAAGAATATATCAATTTTGTTTCTTAGAGATTTCAATTTTATTTTGTAAATATTAAATATAATTTATTATATTTTGTAAATGTATAAATTAACACCTGCATTCCTAGCTATTTCTCTTTCAATAACGAGAAACGTTGTGGAAATGTTAGTCTGCATCAGCCCAAAAAAAAAATAATAATAATAATGAGAAGACAACTTTTCATCACTGTTAGACTAGGATTCCCTTCCAATCTGGGGGTTCACTTTTATCACCCAATTTGTATTGTCGGCATCCCAAAATCCAAAAGAGATAATGCATTAGGATTATCTTTGATATCTTTTATATATATATGGCATGAAAATATACTATAATAATATTACGAGAATTATGCGTTTATATTATTTTTTCTTAACATGAAATAGTAAATGGTAATTAAAGCAAACAATACAAAAATTAACATATATCTATATATATATATATATATATATCAATACAAAAATAAGACGGTATATGGGGACAAAATATATAATTATAAATATTTATTAAATTAACAGGAAAATAAAATTTATCAGAATTAAATGATAAAGAAAACAATACAAAGATTAAAGAATATATCAACGTTGTTTCTTAGAGATTTCAATTTTATTTTGTAAATATCAAGTATATTTTATTATATTTTGTAAATGTATAAAATTTATTTTTATTGTAATGTGGGAGAAAAATAAAAAATTACATTTTTAAACATATGTGTGATATTTAAAAAGTAAAAAAAACATCATTGAAATTTGAAATAATTCTCTTATGTATGCATATATGAATTATATTTATGGATGAGTAGGTGTAAGAAGTGAATTTGTAGGGTTTATATATGATCCAGTTACATCATTTCAGCGACATCTTTAGTTTCACACGGGAGAAAGCTACTAATCAATAAACGATGGCAACATTATGGGAGAATGGCATTGCAGGTCCCAAGAACTAATGTATTTACATTGAAGGCCTAATAAAATCTGATACAATTCTGCAGGCTCAAAGGTTTCTCGTGCAATTAAGTTTTGGTGTAAAGACAGAATTGCCCTTTGTAAAATATATCATAGAACACTCGTAAATAATATTTAAAGTCCATTTATTAACAACAAAATGTTCATTTATTTTACATAGTCTATGTGGTTTACACTTATTAGAGGAGAGGAAACTAAATGACATCTATAATAGAAATTTTGCAAGTAACATTCACAGTCCATTTACTAAAAACAAAATATCTATTTATTTCACATAATTCACATGGCTTACACCTGTTGAAGGAGAGCGAATATACAAATACCAAGATGATATTTACAATAGAAATTCTATAAATAACACTCAAAGTCAGTTAATTAACAATAAATGTCCATTTATTTTATATAGTCCACATGGTTTATATTTGCTGAAGGTGATAATTTTACTAGTTATTTAGATGAAATTAACAACAGAAACTCTATTAAATAACATTCAAAGCCCATTTATTTATGACAAAACATCTGTCTATTTCACATAATTCACATCGTTTACATTTATTGAATGAAAGGAAATTTACAAGTTATTCAGATGAAATTTACAGTAGAATTAAACTTCACAAATAACATTCAAAGTCCATTTACTGATGACAAAATATCTATTTATTTCATGCAGTTCATGTGGTTTACACTTGTTGAAGGGGAGGATATTTACAAGTTATCCAAATAAAATTTACAATAGAACAATAATAAATAACAAGTAAAGTTCATTTATTTTCAACAAAAGATACATTTATTTCAAAAAGGGACAATTTTGTTTTACCTAACACATACCTGAGCTCGCAATAGCCATAAAACCTTCCAAATCTGAGCTCTAGCTTCCCTCTCTTCCCTCCCCTCTCATACTCCTCTCTCTTCTTTTGCTCTTGTTCTATTTCTTGGTTCTTTGTTCTATTTCGTTTTTGCCTATGTTTACTCTTAAAAAAATGAACTAAATATATTGGAAAAAATTACAAGGAAGGGCCTAACATTTCTTTGTCATAACATAAAAGCCTCAATCACTTTGGTAATTTTTTTCATAATTAAAATAAAATAAAATTAAACTTTTACTTAGTAAAATTTGAACTCTAAACCTCTATCAAATTATTTATAATTTTAATTCAATTATAAATATTTTATTTTAAATTAAATTTGAGTTTTAAAATTTTTGAGATATTACACTTTTGCCTATCTTTGTATTAAAAAAATTGTATGTCAGACCTGCAAATTAATGGTTTGATTAATATTAATAAATTTAAAAGTTATTTTTACTCTTAGATTATTTTTTCTAATTCCTATTACAAGATGCCTCTAATAACTTTAATAGAGATGTAATTAATTTATTAACTTTATATGAAAATAAAATAAACTTCCAATTTTCACCTATTTTTAATGATTTTTTTTTTAAATTTGCATTACATTCTCTCTCTCTTAATTAATAAGTTTTAAGTAGAGGTCATATTGAAAAATATTTAATTAATATTCCATCAAGTGATGACTTATATTAAGAACCATTAATTTTTTTTTAAAATATAACTTATATAAGAATGGTCACCCGAAGTACTTTTTAACTTTTGTCAAATTTTCATGTAGCGAAATATGGAGAAACTTTCATAAAGCGAATAAATGGGCAGGCTCAACCCATATAGGCATGGCTCTTGTGGATGTGACCCATATGGGCTCATGGCCAAAAACTCATACACCTTAAAGTTGGTCATTTCTTTAAGCTTAACTCTTATTGATTGACCTTTAGGCCAAGCTTGTAAGCTCTTTTTCTTAATATTTAATAATTTAATTTTTACATTATAATGTTTCATATTCTCTTTTCAAAATACAAATTATAATATTTAAAAATTAAAAATAAATAATATATGTTCTAGTTTTAAAGCATAAACTAATATTTTAAAAATCGGATTGGATGATAAATTGGAAACATCATCAGCTCATGATTCTCATTGTTTAATTGGTTAGACCTGCAGGCTGCAGTTGAAACTAGTGATATAATAATTAAGCAAAAAATTGTATTTATATATGCACACGCACATATGTAAGTAAAATATTAATTAAAAATACTAATAATATCATTCTTAGTTTAGAGTTTTTTAGTCATAACATTTTAAGTTTTAATTTTCTCATTTACCTTGTCTGTCGTGTTAAAGCAATAGTGTTTTAAATCTTCTTTACAGTTTCATATAATGCCAATAAACTAATCATTCATTCAAATTTTTAATTATAATTCTTCTAGAAGGAAGTTGACATTAGTATTTTTAAATTGAATAAAAATTTTATTTTATTACTAAGATAATAGTAAAAATAGAAAATGGTTCAACCGTTCCCATTTAATTCTGGTCCTATGAAAATGTCTGGTTCAAAATGGTCCAAACTGGTCAATCTTCAAAGTGAGTTAATGAGTTAAACCAAACCACTTTTATATCCAATTGGCAGCTCAACTAGTTCGACTCTCTAAGTCTTAAAAGTAATATCGGGATATAAACATGGGGAAAGCTAAAATAAATAAATAAAATAATTTGCATCATTTTGTCTTTTTCACACCAGAAAAAGCTACAGATGCATAAACTCAACATCGCTTTTCGTTTTTCCATCTTGTGGTTCACTAGCATGCCCCAATCTCCAAAATTGATCGTTTAGTTAATATTAACGAGTGAAAAGGCATCTTCTCTTCTAAATTATTTTTCAACATTCATCAATTTTTCATGTATTGAAAAAAAAATCAAGGGAGAATGTCAATGAAAGACCATTAAAATTATTTAATATGAGACAAAGACTTGGACGTTTAGATACTTATCAAAATTTGAATTTCATTTATTAATTGTTAATGTTTATTTGTTAAAAATCATTGCCTGATTAAATTATTTCTCAAGCTTTCATTGATATTTTCCCAAAAAACAATAATGTGAAACATCAAGGAACATTCATTTCTCTACACTCTGGGGAACGTTTATGCTACCCGTTGTATCACGTGCAAGATAAGTCTAATAATATAAAACTCCTAACAATGAAAGTTTAATATTAGAAGAATTACATCCAGGGCTCTCAGAATGAAGATATTTATAGAAAAGGCTTTTTTTTTTTTGTGGCATGCTCTTTGCAATTATATATGTTTCTCCTTAAAATTACCAAGTTACCTTTACATAATCAGTTTCTCCCTGCTCTGCATTTTCTTGTTCTCCTTATTCCTCACTCTTCCTTCTTTCTTCCTTCTTTATCTCTTCCTCTTCCAACAACAATAGGCTGGAGTGAACCACAAGAGTATTGAAACAATTCTGCAAATTCTCATTTTGCATTTTCTCATGAGAGAAAATAAGTGTACCCACTGCAAATTGTCGGATAGTGTGCGCAGATCCAACGATTCCCAGAAACAAAACTCTTCCTTTTTACTCTTTAATTACCTGCTACATTGGCGCATTTTAGTCCACCACGGAACCCTTATAAAGCATTATCCTTCTTCTTTGCCTCTTGGCTTTGCTCTTGCTTTTTCTTTTTCTTTTTTTCCTACTAACCTAATCTGAC